GGCACTCCATGATGACAAACCACATTCCCTTTCCTTTATATCCTTCCCTGGCTCCCCTCGACTCGGGTTGGCAACATTTTCTTTTTTTTTTCTTTTTTTTTAATAAGATTTTTTATTTATTTATTTGAGAGAGAGAATGAGATAGAGAGAGCATGAGAGCGGGGAGGGTCAGAGGGAGAAGCAGGCTCCTCGCCGAGCAGGGAGCCCGATGCGGGACTCGATCCCGGGACTCCAGGATCATGACCTGAGCCGAAGGCAGTCGCTTAACCAACTGAGCCACACAGGCGCCCCGGCAACATTTTCTTAGAGTCAGACAGGAAACATTTTAGGCTTTGTGGGCCACATTCAGTCTGTATCTTACTGTCTTTCATCCTTGTTTTAAAAAACCAACCCTTTGGGGGCACCAGGGTGGTGCAGTCAGTTAAGCATCCAACTCCTGGTTTTGATTCAGATCCTGATCTCATGATCCTGAGATCAAGGCCCACATCAGGCTCTGCGCTTAGCGCAGAGTCGGCCTGAGATTCTCTCTCCCCTGCCCCTCCTGCTCGTGCTCATTCTCTCTCTCTCAAATAAATAAATAAAATTTTTTTCAAAACATTTTCTTAAAGATTCTATTTATTTATTTGAGAAGAAAGAGATTGAGAGCACAAGACGGGGAGAGGCAGAGGGAGAAGCAGACTCCCCAGTGAAGGGGGAGCCTGACAGGGGCTCCATCCCGGAACTCCGAGATCATGACCTGAGCCAAAGGCAGATGCTTCACCCATTGACCCACTCAGGCGCCCCTCAAATAAATAAATCAATCTCAAAAAATAAAAATAAAAAAGCAAACCTTTAACAGGTTAAATCTGCTCCAGCTCGCGGGGCGTACACACACAGGCCGTGGCCAGATCTGGCCAGCACCCCGCATAGCACGATATTGATGTTATTGGAGGATGGATGTGGGTAGGCTGTGCTCCCTATGAATTCCATTCCAATGTATTTAAGGGGACACGACAGACTATTTGTTATAGGAGGGGACTGGGTCTGATACCCGGAGAAGCAAGCCATACACTGATCCGAGCAGAAGACAAATAGAAAGGACCGGGCCGAGATCCTGGGGCCGAAAAGGACACGGAGACAAACATCTGACCCAGCACCAGGGGCCTCCGCTCCTTCCCGGGGTCTCACCCCCAAGACGCCAAGGGCAACACCCACCCTCGGCTCTGGTAGCCCGGCTTCTGGGCAGAAGTCTTCTCTCACGGACATGACCTTGCTCTGTGCTGCCGGCCCAGCGGCCCCACCGAGCTGTCTGTCTCCGTGGGCAGGATGCTGAGAACGGCTCCAACACCAGCAGCTCCAGGACTGGGTCCTTGGAGCGCGTGTTTGGCTCCAGCTGTGGACATAAAGCTCCCAGAGTCTGTGGAAAGCCCGGCGAGGCCCGGCTGCTTCTTCATGCTGGAGCTGCCTGGAGCGCGGGCGGAAGGCCTCAGTCCGCATCAGACTCTTGAAACCCGGAGCCCATCTTCAGCGAGGCCTGGATCGCACAAGCCACGGCCACGGCCACGGCCCCCTTCTGGCGGGGTGCGATGGCTCTGGGGCCCCAAGTCTCAGATTCCAGTCAGGGGGAGCCACCCACAGCTGAGGACAGGACAAAAGCAGAAAGGGGCAACAGCAGTGGTTACCCCAGGCCAAGCTCACCTCCCTTCACTCGCTCACTCTCCACTAGAGCCCTAGCGCAACAGAGCATGAGCCTTCGGTGGGTTGGAGACGCTGAGGGCAAAGCCATGGACTCACCTCCTAGAAAAGTACATGGACACATCCAATTCTGCGGCCAGTTTCCAAAAGGTTCATAGCATGTCCAAGCCCGCCCCCGGGCCCTCGAGCACTGTGCTGTCCAAGAGGGTAGCCACTCGAGCCACGGGGACATTCAAGTCCAAAGTGACTAAAGTACACAATTCTGGTCCTTGCTACATTTCACATGCCCCCCAGCCATCAGTGCAGGACGTTCTCTTGAGCAGCTTGGCTCTAGAATTTCACCAAGGCTGACAACACCTGCCTTAAGGAGGACCCACCACCCACGTGCTGGCATGACACCCCAATCCCAGTCT